GAGTCTGACCTGGTTTCCTCAAATTCAGTTGACCAACCAGTATTTATCTGCTTATATACAGTGTAACTGGTCTCCTCCCTATGTGGTTTACTGCTGGACCCCTGTGCATAGCCCAGCACACATGGCAGGTGCTCATAAATATTTGTCAACTGAAAGAAGGATTTGCTTTCGGTCACCATGCCTTATAAGTGCTCAGTCTCCTCAAAAGGCTTTCAGTTTCAATAGGCAGACAAAACTAGAGTGTGGGGAAGTGACACATCGACATGGACAATGGTAATCACAGACGTCTTCGAGGAGAAGAAAGACCTGCAGTGAGGCTTGAAGGAATGGATGGATTTCAGAGAAGTAGAAAGAACCAGGGCACTCCAGGTAAAGAGAACCACACAGAAAGGGCAGGAGGAGATGAGGAGGCGGATCTGTCTGGGGCTAAAGGTGTTCCAGGAAATCATGTGAGATAAGCCTTGATAAGGAGGAAGGGGGTCAGAGCATAAAAGGTCTGTCTTACTTTGGGTAACAGAAAACAGTAGGAAGTAGCTGGCAGTGTTAACTGGAAGGGAGAGACAGGACACAGGAAACAAAATACGAGGCTGTCACAGTAATTCAGGCGTGAGGTAATGAGTGACCGGACAAGAGTCTTGGCAAAGGGAATGGGGAGGAAAGGGCAAATTTAGGAGATATTCTGAAGAAACAAAAGAACTCGATGACAGAATGAAAATGGGGGTTGATGAAGAGAGAAGAGTCAAAGATGTCTCCAGGGTTTCTGATCTCAGAGACTAGAGAATGTGGGCACAGTTGTCAAAAATGGGGAAGAAGGGGGGAAACCAAGCTGAGTTCGAAGCAGTATCCAAGTATGGATGTCCTGTACGCAATTGGAAAAAGAGAGATTAAAACACTGAGAGATTTTTATACACATAATGGAATATTATTCAGCCTTTAAAAAGAAGTAAATTCTTCATATGCTAAACATGGATGAACCTTAAGGATCTTCTGCTAAATGAAATAAGCCCGTCACAGGAGGACAAATGCTGCATGATTCCACTTCTATGAGGTCTGACTACTTTAAGAAGCAGAAAGTAGAATGGTGGTTGCCAGGGGCTGGGGGGATGGGGAAATGGGAAGTTACTGTTCAACCAGTACAGAGTTTCAGTCCTGCAAGATGAAAAAGTTCTAGAGATCTCCTGTACAACAAATGTTCATACAGTTAATAAAAATTTCTTAAGAGGGTAGATTTCATGTTCAATGGTCTTTACTACAATTTTCTTAAAATTTTTAATCGAGAGATTTTAAACGGTAAAGACAGATATGGGAGTTTGCAATTTAAAAGAAAAGCTGGAGTCAGAAGAAATGGCTAGAGAAAGAAAAGAAGGTCAAGAGCAGCCTACTAATAATGCCAGCTGTGTTTGTTATGTGTTTATGTGCCAGCCTTGTTAGGAGCTTTACCTATGCCATTACTTTAGCCCTCATAATCTTATGTGGGAGATATTATTATCCCTGTTTTACAGATGAGAAAACTGAAGCTCAGAGAAAGCGAGTAGCTTGTCTAAGTCACTCACCTGGTAAACGTAGAAAGTAACCCAACCTAGCCCGGATCCAAAGCCCATGTTCTTCCCACCTCCCCACACTGCCTCACCCCTTAGGAAACTATGAGAGTGAGTCAGAAGAAGGAAAAGATCCAGCAAAGGCAGACAAACAGCAATCAGGTAGGTAAAGGAAAACCAAGAAATGCCCTCATTGAAGCTAACAGAGTATTTTAAATAGGCAGGGATGTGATCAACAGTGTCAAACGCCAACACTCAACATAGAACGACGTCAACACGTGAAATCTCTCTGTAGAGTCATGTAAAGATGGAGCCCTGGGCCAGGTACTGCAGCCCAGAGAATTTCCAAGAAACAAAAGTCCTACCCAGACCTAAATGGGCCTCTTCTCTCCCTCTTATCACTGACAGACACCTGGGGCTGCTGGTCTCAGCTACTCCACAGGCCTCATGCCAAGGTGCATCATCTGACCAGTCCCAGGAAATATCAACCCAAACACAGAACATTGCACAACCCGGGGTCGGGTTCAACTTGAGCTGTGGGGAAAGTGGATCTCCACTCAGGCTATAGTTCAACAAAAATTTGTTTGTTTCTAAAACCAAACTCTCTTTTAGAAGAATTTCACATGCCTGCTCTCTTTATTTCTTCTCTTATACTAGACAAATAAAATCAGGTACATACAGCCCCACTTTAGCACAGCCTTACCTCCCTATAAATGACCTTTCATTCTGCTGCCAGAGTTATACTTCTCCCCCACCAAAAAAACTCCTGTTTATATCATTCCTTTGCCTTAAAAATACTGAGTGCCCCCTACTACCTACATTATTCCTTAGCCTTTTATAACAGAGGCTCAACTTTCCATTCTAGCCTCAACAACTACCCATTCTTTCCAGCTTCCTACTTCATAACACTTCTCACCTTCCCCAGAGGAAACAGAGACCTTCATGAGTCTATTCCTTTGCACACCCTGTTGTCTTCCCAGAATACCTTTTCTTCCTTTTTGACTGGCAATCTCTATCTAAGTTCAAGATTCAGCTTAAATACCAACTCCACTGTAAAGTCTTCCCAATCCCCCACCATCTGCCCCTAGTAATCACTCCACCTCTGTCCTCACAGCACTTTGTTCATATTTCTATAATAGCACCGGCCACAAATGTATTTATATATCTCCATCCCCACTAGGCTGTGTATAGGACTGACTACCCCTCAAGAACAGGGACTGTCATTTATCTTCATATCCCCAATGCCGTACAGGGCCCGGCACAGAGAAGGTTCTCAACGAAAGGAAGGAAGGAGACGGATATGGGGGCTTCGAGTGAAAGAGACAGGAAGCATGGAACATTATCAGCGAGTGAAATAGTTAATTGATAACAAATTGTAAAAAATGATCTTCCACATCAAAAGATTCCAAAATACATCAAACCAGGAAGTCTAAAAGGTTCCTGCCACCCCACAATGAGCAAAAGACGCTGTTTAGCAACTGGTATTCATTCAGAGGGACCATCCCCACAGTTGTTGTAACGAGGAACATACACAGGACAACTAGCCTGGGGTTTCTCTAGGAGAGTAGCCAAAAGAAACTGTGGCAGAATAGTGCAGACAAGAGCCTTACCTTTCAGAACTGCCTACTTCAAAAAAACACAAGACCAAGGATGGGGGGGGGGGAAGTGATCATTTATACTCTGTTAGCATATAGGCTCACTCTTTTAGAAAGAGGAAGAACGTAACACTCATCCCCTGTTGTAACCAAAAAAAAAGCTCCATCCCACCACAGAACTAACCCACACATTTGACAGTCTAGAGTACTAACCATTACACCATGGAACCCCATATTCCCCACACATTTCAAACCAGCACAGAATGCCCCTCTCCAGCCCAGTGACAATCAGTAAGCCTAAAAATATACAATTAAGGAGGGGATAAACATTAACAGTACAAAACTGCCAAGCATCCAAAAAGTATAGGATGTACTGAGGGTCTAGGAGGTGTAAAAAGTGTTGACAGGTCTCACCCCAGAAGCATGCACACTCCTGAATTCCTTGCAGAGGAGAGAACCAACCCATTGGGATAGGCTTGCTTAAGGGCTCTGGGAATGGGAGAGGCAGGCAGTTCTCACTGGGAAGGATGCAATCCTGGGGGTGACTCAAGCCATTTTCCACCATCCTGGATGCTGTTGGGATGTTCTTATTGACCCCGGCACACAAAGCCCCACATGTCTTCCTCCTCTCAGTCCTCAAGCTAATCTCCAAACACCGTCTATCCAGTCTATCATCAGCTGGAAAACCCCACATTGTCTGCTGCAGGATGTCAACTCCAAGTCAGAAACAAGACTGTACTCTCATCATGTCCATAATAATAACCCTAAGGACTGTCAGTCCCAAGTAACAGAAGCCAATTTGCACCCGACTGCAATATGTTGATTTAAACACACAGCACCATTTCCATTTCTTCCAGAGGCAGACACCTACCATAAGCAAGCGTGATGAGACAGTAGAATTTGTCAGCCTATTATATCAGGTTAAGCTGGCGCAATTTATTAGGTAGATAGATGCTAGCTCAGTAACAACAGCAAAAGAAAAAGAGAATCTCAACCTTGTACCAATCTGGGGTTCCAATGTGGGCTCTCTATACAGCACTGATTAGGTCATTCTTGGTACTACAGTTTCCAGATCAACATTATGGATCTCTCCTGATAGAAAAGGAAAAGGTACTACGGTGGGGAGAATCAATGAAGCCATTTTTCAATGAAGGCTGGAGCTGCTGGGGAAAAAGCTTCAGAGTAAGACAGTGCAGTGATGTGATGATGACATGTGGGAGCTGCTGACTAAGTGAAAGAGACGCTTGGCACGTGTCCCATGATGAAATTAACTGGATGATAAAACAACTGAACCAGCTGGCCACTAAGCCTGAAGACGGGGCTGTCCCCGGAGGGCAAGGGCTGAGAGCTATCAGAAAGGTATTCAAAGGGTTACAGGTAACCTCAGTAGCTTTTAAAGGTGAAATAAAGTTAAAAACCAACATCCAGAGCTCTGAATATATGTATTAAGACCAGTAATTCCACTTCTAGAAATCTATCCAAAAAATATAATCAGAGATGCACAGAAAAGTTTATTTACAAGGATGTTCATTATCATATTATAGCACTGAAAAATTAGCAATGTACACGCCCCACAACTGGGGGACGTTAAATAAATGACCCTTACATTTGATGAAATTCCACACAGCTGTTAAGAAATGATATTGCAGACAAATAGTTAAAGGCATTAAAAAAAATGCTCACAAAATAATAAAGGGCAAGACAGAACTAAACTACAATGATAACAAATATATACAAACACAACATTATATATAGAGAGAGATAGAAAAAGACTTGATGAAAATACGATAGAATAGGAACATAGTGATCTTTGGGTTGTAGGATTTTGGTAATTTGGGTGTTTTGTTTTTCTACTCTTTCTATAAGGACAAAATACCACATCTATTTAATTGCGGGGGGAGGGGCGGGGGGAATCTAAGTTGTTTTTCCTAGGGTTCTTTATTAGTCACACTGAAGAGGGGAGAAAAGTCCCCCACAAAAGGCCACTTTGGGAGGGCACATGTCAGGATGTGAGGGCTTGTCCTGCTAGCCCAGATGTGCCAACTTGGAACAGGCTTCCAGGCTGGTCAACTGAGTGGATGTCCAAAGTAAAGCTGTAAGATAATGAGAAAGATGACTTGGCAAACACATCAGAACTAAGAGAACCAAAAATGAGCATGCCTCCTTAGGAGTCACCTAGTTCACTTATTCAACAACGTTGCCGCTGCCCAAAATATACCTGGAACCCCCCTTTTGGAAGTGCCTACAGACTAGTAGTACCATCTTTCCAATGTCTTCCAGAGCAGTACATTTCATTCTTTGAGACTGGAGTTAATGTTTCAAAGAGCCAATCTTGGATAATATCATTTTTATTTATTTATTTATTTATTTATTTATTTTTATATTTATTCGTGGCTGTGTTGGGTCTTTGTTTCTGTGCAAGGGCTTTCTCTAGTTGCGGCAAGCGGGGGCCACTCTTCATCACGGTGCACAGGACTCTCACTATCGCAGCCTCTCTTGTTGCGGAGCACAGGCTCCAGACGCGCAGGCTCAGTAGTTGTGGCTCACGGGCCTAGTTGCTCCGCGGCATGTGGGATGTTCCCGGACCAGGGCTCGAACCCGTGTCCCCTGCATTGGCAGGCAGATTCTCAACCACTGCACCACCAGGAAAGCCCCAGATAATATCACGTTTTGACCAAAAATTAGGTACGACTATAAAATGAGTATGGAATTTCTTATGGGCATCACAATCTGGCGCTGAAGAGAAAAACTACAAAAAGGATTTTATAAATGTATAGAGCATGGGCACCATTGTCAGAGTTATTTTGGTATTTTTCTTTTTTAAAACTGTCTTTGGTGACTACTGAAGGACATTTGGATACATGAGTTTAGTGTAATTCAGTTCTTCAAATGTTTCTTTCATGCCTAATTTATGCCAGGCATTACACTGGGTCAGAAAGATACAAGAATAAATGAGACACAGTTCCCACCTTTAGCAACAGTATAGCTAACATCTGGGATCTTAATCTGTGCTATATGTTATTACATTTACTGTCTCATTTAACTGGTGAGATAAATTCTATTATCATCTCCATCTTACAAATGGAAAAAAAAAAACTGAGGCTTACAGAAGTTACAGGAAACTTGCCCAAGAAGTAAAGACTAGCAGGAAAAATCAAATGTTTAATAAAGTAACTATACCATAATGTGATATCCTTAAAGTAAGTATGTTTAAAGTGCTATAGTAACACAGACGAGAAAGAGAGAATAAATTATATGTGGAACTGCAAACAAAACAAAACAAACAAACAAAAAACCATGGGGGGAAAGTAAGATTGAGCTAGGCACTAAAGGATAATAGAAGTTTGACACAAGGAGAAAAGGATAGTGGTCTTCCAGGCAGAGGGAACAGGACAGTATATATATGCAAAGGAAGAGAAGGGTGAAAGTACATGGGTATGTTGGGGTACGTTTGCTTTAAAAAGTCAGCTATTATCCCACAGACCTATCACAAACTTTTCTTAGCAAAGGCTAGAGAACCACTTTCTCATTACTCAACCTCACCTACCTCTCTGCCTCCCTAATTAATCCCTAATTACCAGCCACAGCACAGGCCTGGGCTCTGCCAAAGGGCAGGACCTGGGCCAACAGTTCAACCTGTCGTGCCCACAAAAGTGGTGCATCTAGGCAGAAATCATTCAACAGCTGTGGGTGCTGGCGAGCTTGACAAGTAAAGGTCAAAGCCTTCCAGAGGAAACAGCAGCAACGGAATATACTGCACCTCAATCCTGGCATCAAAGCATCAAAGATTCACAGGAAATTGGAGACAGGAACTTCGAGACTTACACAATGTCTCTATTCTCCCACAGGGCTCCCTTCAACAGTTACCCACTAGATGGAGGAGTGGCTGCAAGCTGAACCATGTCAAGAAAAGCAAAGTCAGTAACTAAACAAAGAGGGGAGCCAATTACCTGCTTCCGTCAGGCCCTCCAGAATACACAAAGGTACAGGTGAAATGAAGAAGGGGAGTAGCTATTCACCATAATCAGGGGACAGTGGGTGAAACTCAACCCAGAGGAGAGTTTGACAAAGGCCACAGTTTGTGTCTAAATGTTGGCCTGTCAACTCAGAGCTGGGGGAATACTTATCTAACACCTGTAGCAATGTTCCAGAAATGATTATAAGGACTAAACCAAAACAACTACATGCCCTCGTTACGGGCACCTCTCCCACCCGGAAAAGAGTCAGGTTCTGAGAGACAAGGGAGTTAATCAGATGCTTTCTTCGAGTGAACAGGACAAACTGCTGTATATTATATATTTTATGCCATAAAGACTATTATACAGTGTATATATGTGAATGAAGGATTAGAAAACAGAACACAGCTCAAGGAGGCTAGTGTGGAGAGAGAAGATCTATTGCCCTCACTCCAAAGCACCATACTGCTGCTGTCCCTCAGAGGAAGGTACCAAGTGTGTTGGTACCCAGTCAGACTTGGGTATTCTCCCTACTTCATATGGTCCCCAGTACCAGACAGCTATACAATACAGCCATCTTGGCTGCTATACTCCCAGGCACTGTTATCTCCTTAGCAGGACAGATGACCCTGTTCTCGGGCCAGCCAAACTTTGGTTATACCACTGTAAAGGGCCTATGTTATGGGAATATTATAAGCGCTGCATGGATTAATACAGGGAAGTGCTTAGAACAGTGCCTAGCCCATAACTAACATTTGCTGAGTGCATAATATTTTTAAGAATATCACTAGTGCTGCTGTCTTCCAGTCTCAACAATCAGTGAGATCAAGTAAGACCTGGAACCAAACATGTGGATGGGTGACTAGGGCTACAACTCCTCAGTCAGAGGTGCCCTGATCCAGCTCATCCTGGACCAGTGCAGGCACAAGACTCACTGTGATTCAAAGAAGTCTGAGGGAGGAACAGGAGAAAGAAGAGGCAGAACATTTCGTAAATTCCGAGCACATACCAGACACTGAACTAAGTGCATATGTCTTCTTACTTAGTGTCCACTGCAGTAAGTGTTCTGAGTTCACCTTAGACGTGCAGAGCCAAAATAACACAGCAGAGAGCCCCAGTGTCTGGGTAGGAAGAGTGGAGTGGGAGCTGCTGCTGTTGTGGTCATTTCTCTTCTCTGATTTCAGCCCCATACAGGACACTCACTATGACAGGGTACATCTAGTCTGTCACTCATTCATTCCTAGCCATGTTATTCATTCATTCCTAGTAAAAACAGGGCAAAGGAGAAAAACAAACAAACTTTATCGGTGAACTGAGAAAACAAATGATTGCCAAGCTGGTTTCAATATAACGTCTTCCAAAAGCAAAAATATATATGTAGGGTGTAACTTCAAACCTCTACAGCCCTGAGAAGATCAAATCAAGAGGTACTTGTTCCATTAGTCCCCTGAGAAAGTCAGGAGAGTTACAGGAAACTGGGGACCAAAACAACTCCTATTTAGGGAGTAAACATCCCATGCATGTTTTATGGGAGGAGAACAAGAAGTGCCCCCGACCCCTCATACCTGCACTTTGTTCCTGAAGCACATACAGCAGAGGAAGACAGAGTTATGAGTGGTATGGTCTCCTGAGAACCTCAGGAATCCACTTAGGTCACTGCTAAACCTGATCCACATAGGCTGTGGCCATCCTATTGTGGTTCACTGCTCCTCTAAACCCTTGAAAAAAGGGGAACCAAAAGGAAAAGTTATATTAACCTCCAATAGTTTCCACCCACCGCCAATACGTCTTTAGAAAGTTCTGGCCTTTCTAAGAATGACAGTAAGGATAACAGGGAATAAAACTAAATTAAGGAGATCAGCATCCAAGGAGAGGCCTAGGATTCCTACTCTGAGGCTTTTCCTCTCCTGAAGGAATATGCAGGTTAACTAAGTTTGATAACCCTTCCATGAGTTTTGTAAACACAGGGGAAAAAAGGCTCCTGCTGTTGGGTGGGCTTCATGCCCAGGAATATAGAAGGATCCCCTAAGACAGGAAAGAGGGCAAGAAAAGGGGCTCTTGTATGGGACAAGGGTACAGTCCTGCACCTTCACACAGACCGCAACAAGGCCCAGGAACTGGAAGAGTCACTGAGAAGCGCCACTGTTTTCTGTCCCCACCTGCCACCTCTTCCCAATGAGTCTGGATAAAGCAGTTCAGACTCTTCCTGTCCTCTCAACACTTCCTTTGACAGGGAAGCAACAGTTGATGTTGCTCATTCTTGCTGAGACCTGTCTGATGTGTGATGAGCTGAGCTTGAAGAGCCCTCAACCTAAAAGCGACAGGCTCCAGCTGTCAGAAGTTCTGGAAAAAATGTTTGTATGGCATGCGGGGAGAGACAAGGGAAGAGAAGATAGAGATCAATGGAACAATACTTTTTAGTTGTATATCCCTTTGTAGCAAACAAAGCTCTTCATGTATATGTTCTCTTAGAAACTGTCCTTCTACAGATTATGAAAGAAAGTAAAGTATCTATAGACCCTGGCAGGATGTGAATCCAGATCGCCTTCCATTCCCCTCAACCCTGAAGGAAGCAACTTTACCCTTTTCCTCTATTTCCCCTGACTCTCTCCACACCCCGTGGTCACTCTGGATCCAGAACGCTGACTGCCAATGGAAGAGGGATGGTTTGAGCACCTTCCTAAGAGATGGAAATAAAACTACCTCTTAATAAGAAAAAGGGAAGTAAAAAGAGTTCATTCATTTTCCTCCTTAATAGCCAAAAAGAGTCTTGCATTATCATACCTGGGAGCATTTCTCTCATATATTATATAATGAGTGAAAAGTCTGCCAACCATGCAAAGCAAACACTAATCCCCTTAAATACTATTTTAGTAAAAAGCTGTCCCCTTCAAAGTCACTGATTTACCCTTTACAGTGGCGTCTCTGCCCTATCAACCTGCATTCCTCCTCCCCTCCACAACCATTCCCGACTCCCTGTTCTCTCCAGATGGGGCTCTGACTCACTGTAGACACAGGCAAGTGGAAAATCTGGCCCAAGAACCCCAGCTACACCTAGGTGAGGCCGCAGGGCCCAAAGCAGGAGCCCTCCACCCACCCTGCCGGGAGCGCCCTGAGCGCTGCTGAGTTCAAGGGGCCGAACGTGGCTTCAGTGCCCATTCAAGCAAAAGAACAGGCTGCGGCTGGAGCAGCTGAGAGGATTCCCTCCCATCACCCACTACTGCGTTTACAAACTCTATCCCTTCTATGTAATTGCCCAAACACAGAAAAAACTATGGCCAGCTCTGAGTCAGAGGCCTTTCTAAGCCCCTAGGGATTGATGGAGAGTAAAGATCCCATACAACACACACCACAGCAAGTGTTCACACAAACAGCAAGGACAAAAGGCAGGGAGCCAGAAGCCCTGGAATACCTCTCAGGTTGTTGAGCCCCTCCAGGAACTTCTGGTACTTGTAAGCGTTCATGCCCCGGGCCTAGCTGTGTTGGCTCAGTGGCTGGAAGTAGGCACCATGGCACAGTGACAGCTGAGAAGGGAGAGCTCCACTGCCGTCTCCTAGCCCCCAAGAACTGGACTTTGACCACACTTGCAGGTGACGTCACCAGAGGAGCCTCATTACATTACAGCCCTTTGTGCGCCCTCATTTGTTGCAATGAGCGGAAATACCTCCCCAGGAGAGGCCAGCCCCTCCTTTGTGCAAGTCGGGAGACCGCAGCAGCCCCTGCCTATCATCTGCCACCTCATCTGCTACCTTCTCTTTAGACCCCAGCCCAGGCTCCACTGGGATTACTGCTCCTCTGGTTTAAACTCTAGGGAGAGAGGCTTAAATGCTTCTCAGGACACCAGTTAGGGGCTCATCTAACATCTGAGAATGAACCTTTTAAAGGGCCACACTCACGACAAGAATGTCACAACACGAGTTCCTGGGCAAATATCACATGGCAATGAGAAAGGTTTTACAAAATAAACAACTAACTCTGCACTCTGCTCACAGCAGTCACGTTTACAGACTGGAATACAGCTACACACGGAGGAGACACTGCATA